TTATTTTTAGAAGCCGTTTTTATAAACGGATTTATAAATAGTTTTTCTCAAAGTTATTTTTAGAAGCCGTTTTTATAAACGGATTTATAAATAGTTTTTCTCAAAGTTATTTTTAGAAGCCGTTTTTATAAACGGATTTATAAATAGTTTTTCTCAAAGTTATTTTTAGAAGCCGTTTTTATAAACGGATTTATAAATAGTTTTTCTCAAAGTTATTTTTAGAAGCCGTTTTTATAAACGGATTTATAAATAGTTTTTCTCAAAGTTATTTTTAGAAGCCGTTTTTATAAACGGATTTATAAATAGTTTTTCTCAAAGTTATTTTTAGAAGCCGTTTTTATAAACGGATTTATAAATAGTTTTTCTCAAAGTTATTTTTAGAAGCCGTTTTTATAAACGGATTTATAAATAGTTTTTCTCAAAGTTATTTTTAGAAGCCGTTTTTATAAACGGATTTATAAATAGTTTTTCTCAAAGTTATTTTTAGAAGCCGTTTTTATAAACGGATTTATAAATAGTTTTTCTCAAAGTTATTTTTAGAAGCCGTTTTTATAAACGGATTTATAAATAGTTTTTCTCAAAGTTATTTTTAGAAGCCGTTTTTATAAACGGATTTATAAATAGTTTTTCTCAAAGTTATTTTTAGAAGCCGTTTTTATAAACGGATTTATAAATAGTTTTTCTCAAAGTTATTTTTAGAAGCCGTTTTTATAAACGGATTTATAAATAGTTTTTCTCAAAGTTATTTTTAGAAACCGTTTTTATAAACGGATTTATAAATAGTTTTTCTCAAAGTTATTTTTAGAAACCGTTTTTATAAACGGATTTATAAATAGTTTTTCTCAAAGTTATTTTTAGAAACCGTTTTTATAAACGGATTTATAAATAGTTTTTCTCAAACTTATTTTTAGAAGCCGTTTTTATTACGAGAAATAAAAAAGTTATTGTTTTTCAAATATATTTATAACTTTTGTTTCTATTAGCGGCTTCACAAAAGTTTTTCTTTATTAAATTTAGTTTTAATTACCATTTAACTTACGTGAATAAGAAAAAACATTTTGCTTGTTCGATTTACATATATTTGAGTTTATTGTTTGTTTGTATTTGAATAAAAAATTTATCACCTTTTTATTTATTTATATTTTTGAATTTATGAAATGGTTGTATTTTGTTTGATTATATGTTAAAAAATTCATTTTCTCTGTATATATTTTTCCTCTTATTAATAAAATGTTGATGTTTGTTCATTCGTTGTTTAATTGTATTTAAAAAAAAACATATTTACTTTTTATTTATTATTGTTTTGTATGTATATAATGTAATATTTTCTTTATTCATTATTTCTTTGTATAAATAAAATGTTTATTTTTTTCATTTGTTGTTCGATTGTATTTAATTTGTTTTTGCCTATATTTTATTTTGAAATATTTAATTAAACATAAAAAATACTTAATGCTTAAAAAAAAAACAAAAGAAATGTGCTTATTTTAAAGTAAAACCTCTATAGTTTTTATCAATTGTCTCGTCTTTTTGCGAAATTTGAAGCTGATGTGTAATTGTTGTTATACCTGGATGGCTTTTTGAACAGCTGATATCGCCTTTCGCGAAAAAATTTTCATAAAATTTACAAGAGGAGAAAGGTTTAAAATAGGGTGAATACTAGATGGCCGTATATTTTTAAATATTTTCGAAAAATTACGTTTTATATTGCGATTTTCGACCCTTGACTTAATTAAACGTATATATAATAAAATCTGTTAATTAAAAAAATTAAAAAACTATTGGAGGTCGTTTTTGACATTAGAAGCTAGTTTTACACAACTTTATCCATGCTCCAAAACTTTAGAACAATGTGATAATTCGATGAAAATTCCTTAAAAATAGAATTAAGCGTTAATTGTGCGTCATTAAAAGTAGATTAATATCGCAGTAAAATCTTTCGAATAAAAAAATTTTTTTATAAATTTTGGAGACTTAAAAAACATATAAAAAATGAAAAAAAAGTTTTCTCAAAGGGTTTATAAGTGTAGTCTTCTGTAACACTATAAACTTGTTCGATACTGGCTAGAGCATGGGTTAAAATAATCTTATTTTCTACTTATTTATTATTTATTTGTATCTAATGAAAAGTTAATATCTTGTTTATGTATTGTTCATTTCTATTTAAACGAAAGTTTATTTTTTGTTTCTATGTGTTTTTTGGTAAATAATGAATTTGTAATATTTTAATGTCAAAAAATGTATTTAATAAATTAAATGTTTTAAATGAATGTTTCTGAATAAACTATTAATTTGCGTTTCTCAATAAAATTATTTCAAGTCACTTTGTAAGTTTCTTATAGTTTTAATCTATATATATAGAAACGAACGTATAACTGTCTGGCTGTTTGTCTTTCATGCATCACTACACTGTTTATTTAATTGCCATGAAACTTTAGGAAGTTGTTCAAGACACTCAAGCGAAGGCTTCTGGAATAGTAAATTTATTCTATGATAAATGGAGCGCGTGTATATGAGAATGTCATCGTGAGCATTTCAGCGTAATTAAAAGTTAAAACTTGAAATTCGTTACCTAGGGTACGTCACAAGAACGCACACTAAGAAGGAATTTTTCGAAATTTTTCTATCCACCACGGGGAAAGAAAGAATTAAGGCTTATAAAATGGATGTTGTAAGAATGGATGTGATAAGAGAAAGCAACTTGGAAGATTTACAGGCGCAAATGCGGTTTTGTGCGTTTTTGCGAGAATTTCAACATAATATTAGACCCATATAAAATTTTTGTATTCCGTGAAAACGGGTAAAATTGGCTCTAATGTAATAATCTTAATCTTNAAATTGTTTATTTATAAATAAATAAATATTTGCTGAGTTGATAAAAAAAAAAACAGTACGAATACTGTAAGATTATTATATCGTTAATCAGAATTTTTCACTTTTTGCAGGATCTTGATGAAAAATTGGAAATGGAAAAAGAAGACTCATTGGAATTGAACGAAATAGGAGAAGTAATGGAGGAAGGTGAGGTCACAAAAAGATTATAAAAAACTTTTTGATTCATAGAACAATTTGCTTAAAAATTATTGAAAATAATTTAATGTTAAATTCATTGTGTTAAAATCTGTTTACATT